AAAGAAATCATAATTTATTAAGATTATATTTAGTAGTAGCACAAAATTGTGTTAAGTAATGTTTCTTTTATATCTGCAATATCTTGTCTCATACCTTCATTCCATTCATGAAAGCAATGTATGTTCTAATTTTTTTAATTGGTATCGATATCTATCTCCTGCTCTTCTTAACCATTCCGAGAATTTATTCTTTAGACTATAGTAATTTGATGAATTGTACATGTTTGAAATGGTACCTAAAAAGAATTTTTATTATATTTAGTAATATTTATTATTATTATAAGACAAATATATTTCAAAAATTAGTTTATGCTAAACAAATTTTATCTTCATACATTTACCCATGATAATATTCGCAAAAGCTGTGTTTTTAATACCCTTTGTGTGACGTTGACCTTCCCATGTTAATTGTTTGGCAAGTTCGTTGGTAAGAGTCGTAACTAAACAATTAATCAAATGATTTTCTGCTGATTTTCCACCTATGTTACGGATTTTTTTCTGCTATAATATTGAATACAAAATATTACTAAAAGTGATGTATTTCTTCCTATTTTTAATAAAAATGTAACGATCCCGAAAATCGTCACGACGTTAGAAACAATATTTATAATATGAACAAAGAAACGCCGAACAACCGCGCGCGGGATAACCGCAAGGTCAACAAACGGCCTTACTGTTTGTTATAATTTAGTATAAAAGGCCGTTACAAAACGAGATCGAGAGAGATTGATCGGAAAGCTCCTCTCAGGCGCACGACCAACCAGAACTCGAAATTCCTAGAGATCCTAAACATTCCGTCGACCGAAGTGGATACGCGAAGTCGACATCCTTTCCCCGATGCCGCTCTGCCGACCGAAGTGGATACGCAACGTCGGTTTCCTATCCATATACCGCTCCGTCGACCGAAGTGGATACGCGACGTCGACATCCTTTCTCCGATACCGCTCTGTCGACCGAAGTGGATACGCGACGTCGGCATTCTATCCATGCACCGCTCCGTCGACCAAAGTGGATACGCGACGTCGACATCCTTTCTCCGATACCGCTCTGTCGACCGAAGTGGATACGCGACGTCGGCATTCTATCCATGCACCGCTCCGTCGACCAAAGTGGATACGCGACGTCGACATCCTTTCTCCGATACCGCTCTGTCGACCGAAGTGGATACGCGACGTCGGCATTCTATCCATGCACCGCTCCGTCGACCAAAGTGGATACGCGACGTCGACATCCTTTCTCCGATACCGCTCTGTCGACCGAAGTGGATACGCGACGTCGGCATTCTATCCATGCACCGCTCCGTCGACCAAAGTGGATACGCGACGTCGACATCCTTTCTCCGATACCGCTCTGTCGACCGAAGTGGATACGCGACGTCGGCATTCTATCCATGCACCGCTCCGTCGACCAAAGTGGATACGCGACGTCGACATCCTTTCTCCGATACCGCTCTGCCGACCGAAGTGGAACGCGACGTCGGTTTCCTATCCATACACCGCTCCGTCGACCGAAGTAGATTCGCGACGTCGACATCCTTTCTCCGATATCGCTCTGCCGACCAAAGTGGATACGCGACGTCGGCTTCCTATCCATACACCGCTTCGTCGACCAAAGTGGATACGCAACGTCGACATCCTTTCCTCCTCACGCCATGCCACTAACACCTACGATCGCGAACGCATACAGGGCGGAAGATACCGGTGACGACGAGCGCCTTTAAACCAGCCAGGTTAAAACCGGAGTAAATAAACAGCTTAAAGCCAACAAAGCAACGAACTCCAAACGACGAACAATAGCATATCAGGAAACATTCCCGACCGCGTCCCGCCGGACGCTCGCAGCTGATCGCGAGACGACAACATCGGCTCCCGACGAGAGCAAAAACGCGACCACGCGCCAACGGCGTAACGTCGCATGTAAATAATTGTACATAGCTTTGAAATTAGAATATAGTTCCATGTTATTATAACCTACACCACTGCTTTTCATTTCACAAACGAAACTCGGACCACGCCGACTAAGACTATCCCGCACGTAACGCGAGGCCGTTACAAAAATAATTTTAAACTTACAAATTGCTTTCGTAATTCTTCATTCTCATTTAAATCATTACAAAATTTTTTGAAATCTTCCATAGAATTTAACGGTATATGAGGTAACAAATCAAAAGAGCAATTTGCTGATGTTGAAGGATTTTGTTCATCATGAAAGGCCAACATTGAATCTAATTTTCGATTCATGACCAACAACATATCCAATATTCGATTTACCGTTTCTTCTGGCGCATTTTCTCCTAAAAAATAAAAAAACATAAAACAATAACATAAATTAAAGAATGTGAAACATAATAAATGTCAACAATGAAATGTAAGAAAGACTGCAAAATACTTACCTTTATTTATAGCTTTTTTTTTATTAATAATTTCCGTTTCCATATATTTCTGCTTTTCACATTCTTGTATTTGTAACGTAGAATAACTTTTCCCCATTAAAAAAAAATTGTTAAAAAATGTTGGGGTAGAACGTAGATAATAAAAATAATCTGATGATAAAATATAACAAGTATTTTTTCCAGTTACTTTTATGAGATTCATGTTCTATTTTTTTATTGATGTCACAATTGGGATTATAATCAACTGAAAAACAAAAAAAAGTCATTAGTAGTAGTTATTAAAAACAAAATAAAATATAACATACAAAATTAAAAGCATTGTTACATACTATGACTTATGACAGGAACAGATCGCTTTCTTTCCAAATTGCATAAAGTTATATTCGTAGGTGTTTTCATCTTTTTAGAATATCTGTCTGAATATTCATCTCTCCGAATATTTTTCAGATTATCTTTCTGAACATTATCTATTAAAACAATATATATATTTTAATTAATTTTTAAGTGATGTAAATATTATTAATATAAAATTACCTTGAAAACTTTCTTCGTCCTGAGAAAAAGAATCATTATAATTCAATGATTGTGTTTCATTTGTATCGAACGATAGTAATGAACACTGAATTTGGTCAACTTGTGCAGATATATTATCTAAAAATAAAAAATTATATTAAGCAAAATTAATTTAAAAATCACAAAAAATAACTTTGTCATTGTTCAATTACATTTCCCGAAATATATAACAGTGAGGAAAAGTCCAAATATAATGAAAATCATATAAAAATATATTGCATATAGTAGAATATTATGCAAATATGTATCTATAGTATATATTGTGTAAAATAAGTTCTATTTATAATGATATAAAAAGAATTAACCTTTTTCTCTGACATTTATATCTAAATTTGCATTATCTATACCAATCTTATAAATGGATGGAGCATTCGGAAGAATTTTCTCTACAAATGTTAAAAATATATTAAAAATAAAAATAATGTATCAAGTACACACACACACACACACACACACACACACACACACACACACACACACACGCACGCACGCACGCACGCACGCACGCACGCACGC